TTATCGAGGGAAAAAAAGCCGCGAAAAAATCTGCAATAATTATGCATCAACCCAATAGTTATCTCTCTTCCTTCATCTTCAATTGAGTCCAGCAAGAATCCATTAAGTTGAACAGCACTTCTTATATGCGCCACGTAATCGCTTCCCACTCAATTTTTTTTTCGAAGACCTCTATTACATACTTTATATAATGCTCAAGAAAGGACAGATAGGTGACATCTGTCACAGTCTTTGAAATACAAGTTACTGGTCTACTTGCGGATATTGCTAATACAGTGGATTGATCGCCGATAGGATCTAAAGTGATAATGACTGATCGGGAAGAGAACGGGAAAACCTTTACTCTCTGACCAGGAACAGTCCAATGTAGGAAAAGCACGCTGATGCGATGGCGCCCATGGACGAATCTTGCCGATATCGTTTGAATCTAGATAGCTGACTTCAGCCGCACCTAAATAGGGCAATAAGGCTTGAATGAGGCTTGAAATGGCGCAAAAAAAGTGAAAATGAACTCGTCAGTACTATGCAGCTCGATGCATTGACGGAACTGATACTACTAATCTCATGAAGATGGTGATTTCAAGGCAAAAGGCTGACTTAGAATGGGAGCAGAACCCGTATTGTGTATAAATGGTGATGTACTGATTAAATAAGGAACGAGTTATATCCCAAACCCAGACCAGGAATGTTAGGGAAGGCTGCATTCGTCTACCGTACCGCAAAGGATCGTGAGCTTGGGGATGCGCTTCGTTGCGCGCGTCCGTCGAAACTAGGTCATGCCGCAGTTCTCGCATGCGGCGGGTCAGCCCGCGACACTTGACAGACAACGCAGTCGTCAATGGAGCACACGATTTGTGCTTGGTCCACGGCAGCCAGCCAAAGTGAAGATAACACAGACAAACGCAAATCGTTCACTCCACTGACACTTGATGGTACTGCAATGTCATCTTGAGACCTCAGTGTGGTGCGCCGCGCGCAAAATGGGAGGGGTGACCTACTTCCGACGGACGTGAGCAACGGACTTTCTCCACCCCACCACATCTGGAAAGTGATGATCATTGTTGTGTGAAAAAATCCCACGTGTAGAAGGCTGGATAGATATGAAGTGGTAGGCGATGCTATGTCTGGAAACTAGCCTTAAAGGAAATTCGTGAAGTGATGTTAATGCAGGATTCAAGGATTGTACATATAAGAAGCTGACGACTTAATTGACGAGTTCACTTCTTTTACAGCGCTGAAGTTGTGTGTAGAGGCGGATTCATTATATCTCGAATTTTTTTCTTATCTCCTTTCCTTCTTGAAGAAAGAGATTTTGAGTAGGTTGTGGTAAAAACAAGAGCATCTCAGAGATTTTAATGTGAAACATCCTAATATGTACCTTGAGAACAACAATCGAAGAAAGCTTCAAATAATCAATGAGGGTACAATAGCATCTTTACAGAATACAATATACTAGAAAACTATTATTTATTTATTTATTCAAATATACCTCAAGGGTGTGTCCATTAAGAACACAAAAAGTAGAATTTAGAAACTATGGTCTCATTTGGCCTGTAAACAAAGAAAAATAGAAGTGAATAACAACAAAAACAAGTTAAAGGGATCAGATTTAGGCGTCAATGAGAAAAGCAGATAGGTTAGCATGTCGAGATGTCATTAAAAACGAGAGGAGCTAGGGCAATACGTTGTGAGGTCGATAAGGTTGTTTTCCCCTGTCAAGCAGATGAGGGGTCCCTCCGCAAGATCCTGGTCCTTGATCCAGAACGCAAAGAGACAGAAGGACCAGGCATGCTGACAATTTAGTCCGTTACGAAAGAATTCGTCCGGAACCCCGGGCGAACAGACCAAGGGGGACCTCAAACGACGGGGTTCATCAAACCGAAGGATCCTAAAACAACTAAGATTCACAACTAAAGCCCACACTACGCCAAATCAGAATCTGCTCATTGCATCGGTACCTGACTGATTCCAGAGAAAAAATGGAAGAAAATGAATTGCAGAAGGGAAATCGGGAGGTAGAACTAGCATGCCCATGCTCTTTGAACAAATATCATGCATGACATAATTTACATATACAGTGCAAGCAACACGAAGTCTGAATCATTTTTGATTTTCGAGCCAGGAGAAAAGGGATTACAGTAGATTGCCTGCGAAATAGGAAAGAGGAACTGCATTGTATTGCATTGCATCGCATTACATAGGACACAGAAAGTCGTCAAGATTATTTCTATTAACAAGGTGAGGCACAGAACTCTTCAGGACAATTCCGAAGGTTAGGCACTACGTTACAGAGTGTCATGTCGTCGATGCTGATCGCTGATGGCGACTGCTCACTTGATCGCTGAACGCTTATAGCTGTGTGCTGCATTTGAAATCCTAGTAACAACAGAAATGGTTACTGGGGTTCTAGAATATGTTGGTCCTGATGCTCCTCTTCTTAAGATGATCCTTTTGAATTCCGTGCGAAACTCTCGGTTGAGAGCCAGATATACGAAAATATTGATAGAAGAACTTGCACAAGCTAGATAGGTGGACGGTTTCGCTATTGCATCGGCCACCTGAACGATAACAGTGACTTCAGTTACAACATCCTAGAGATCATTCAAGAGCTATCAATCGAAAAGTTGTCAGTGAAGCTGAATTTGCAATTTCTGCTGAGTATAGAATATGATCCTCCCATCGATTCTTCTATCAGGATCTTTTGCTTTTCAGCTATCATTGTCCTCCTTAGTACATCTAATTGTAAGTTCTTCGAAGTATTGATAGCGACTTTATTTCAGCACCCCAACGCAGAATTACATCTAGTTAAGCCTCGAATGGCATGGACAGATTCGGATTTGATGACCACTCACCTCGGCTATATATTGAGCAAATAAGGAAATTCCATTTGGTATCGACACTAGAACGATCGACAGAGCGGAAACCATCAGCACATATCTGATCCTCATTTTCTGCTCCCTAGACGAGCTTAAAGTGTCTCTGTATATTGTTCGATGGACAGGAAAATATGGTCGATGTTAAGCNCCTCCCATCGATTCTTCTATCAGGATCTTTTGCTTTTCAGCTATCATTGTCCTCCTTAGTACATCTAATTGTAAGTTCTTCGAAGTATCTTGATAGCGACTTTATTTCAGCACCCCAACGCAGAATTACATCATAGTTAAGCCTCGAATGGCATGGACAGATTCGGATTTGATGACCACTCACCTCAGCTATATATTGAGCAAATAAGGAAATTCCATTTGGTATTGAGACTAGAACGATAGATAGAGCGGAGACCATCAGCACATATCTGATCCTCATTTTCTGCTCCCTAGACGAGCTTAAAGTGTCTCTGTATATTGTTCAATAGATAGGAAAATATGGTCGATGTTAAGCATCTTTCAGCGGGAAACGTTTGAGTATCCTAGTATTTAAGTGAGAACAAAAGTTGTCTTCTTTTTTTAACAACCTCAAACAGCACACAGCGAGCTCGAATTTGATGGTGCCTACCCTAAAATCCTAAAATCACAACGAAGAATAATTTATTCCTCACCTGCTCTCCACCAAATATAGTGACTTGCAATAAGCTATGCAACCCAAGATGAATCCTGAGAGGTAGCCAAAAATATTCATTACGTAGATAAACGATGCATAAATTTCACCGAAAGATGCTTTTCTTCCACACCAGTACTTTGCCTGAAAGTATGCAAATGAGGAGAGAAAAAAGTGTGACGGGACAGTTAAGAAGTGACACGGGTGAACAACTTCCAGAAGATTGCCATTCTATTTTTGAGACTGCGAAAAAGCTGCTGAAATCTATCAAATAAATCTGCTCAAATCAATTATCCGCTATTAATGGGAAGTGTCCGTTGCGCGCGTCCGTCGAAACTAGGTCACCCCGCGCGGCGCAGCCAAGACGATCTTGAGATGGCATTACAGTACCACTAACGTCAGTGGAGCGAATGATTGCTCTAGTCCGTGTTACCTTCTCTCAAGCTGACCGAACTCTTCTGGTACGACGCTCCATTGGCCACTGCGACTTCCGTCAGGAATCGCGGTCTGACGTCTCGCGTGCGACGGCTGCGGCGTGACCTAGTTCCGATGGACCGAAAACCTGCGCGCTGGAAACTCTCTTAGATCTTAATGAGTGTATATTCAGCATATATGAATATGTAATCATTCAGCAAAAGTTTCATTTTTTAGGAACTTCTTTCTCCGTTGCTGTTTAAATTGCACGCTGAGGAGATACCTAGTCTATTCGATGGGTTACATGTTGTAACGAAAATGTATGCTGATGATGTAAAGATTTACGAAGTCGCTACCGAGCTTAAGGACCGAGAGGTGATACAACAGGCCATTAAGTTGTTGAGCGACTGGGCTGAGCGGTGGCAGCTCCCCTTGGCCCCGCATGAAATGATGTATATGACGATCGGCAACAATCTTGCCCCTTTTCCCTCCTTCCCTTATACCATGGATGGTGTTACCATTTACCGAGTAAACTGTGTAAGGGATGTAGGCTTCCTCTACACCAGCGCTCTCGACTTTTCCACGCACATTCGCGCTCGGTGTAAGCAAGCATACTGCGCACGTCGCACATTTTCGAGGGACTGTCTACCACGGACAAGTCAATGCTTCTCAAAGCTTATAAGACATATGTTCGTCCTCTGATTGAGAGTGGTGCCACAGTGTTCCATCCCAACCGAAGGAAGGACGTCATTACCCTTGAAAAAGTACAAAATAACTTCGCGCGTAAAATTCTTTTCCGATGTAGATGCTTCTTCTATTCTGGTATTCCAGGAGCCTCCATTCGTAACAGGTATNTTGACCTAGTTCCGATGGACCGAAAACCTGCGCGCTGGGAACTCTTTTAGATTATAATGAGTGTATATTCAGCATATATGAATAAGTATTCACTCAGCAAAAGTTTCATTTTTTAGGAACTTCTTTCTCCGGTGCTGTTTAAATTGCACACTGCGGAGATATCTAGTCTATTCGATGGGTTACATGTTGTAACGAAAATG